ATGGTTCGTTACTGCTGAGTGCTGTCAAGTCATTAATAAAAACGAAACCCGGCACTCGTGAGAAGAGCGAGGACCCACAGCCGACAAGGCAGGATCTGGCGCTCCTCAACCAGGAGCCTCGGCATCAATCACACTTCCCAGGGGAGCACCATGTCTGTACAGAGCACGAGCACATCCCTGAAAGCCTAATGTTGAGGGAAAAAACCTAAAGTACCCAAAGGGTCCCACTACTGAGGGCTGAGTGCGGAGGGGAAACCCCTGGGATGGCTCCCGGCCCCTTTCCTTGTACCCTCCTGCCTGTCCCAGCTGGGACAGGCACACCCGCATCCCCATGGGAGCTCATCCTGAGGAGACATGGTGTTTGGGCTATGGAGCCAGATAAAAGGGCCAGAGGAGCCTGCTGTCTCCTGCCCACTTGAGGAGGGAAAGCTCTCGAGGACAGCACATCCTTGGGGACACAAAAAACACATCATCCCTGTTGCAAACCCGTCTCGTCTCACGAAAGGCTCATCCCCTCTCCAGCTGTCATCACTGAGAAGGAGAGCCCGTGGGCAAACAAGTTATTGACTTCGACAAAAAGTTCTTTTGCCCACAGCAAAGCGTCTCCCTATCTCAGAGGGAGGAGAAAGGTGGCGTGGGACGCGCCGCTATCTCATCCACACAACGCAGACGGAGACAGGCAAGGAGCAGCGGATGCCCGGGGAGACAAACACCCACTCCCAGACGGACAGAGATGCGCCATGTCTGCCGGGCATCGCTCCTAACCCCAAACCAACTGGAGTGGCACAGCGCGGTGCTGCAGCCAGCCCCGCATGCCTGCTGACACCCCTGCCCACCCGCCGTGAACGGGGAGGGCGGCAGATGGTCCAAACCGTGCAGGGCCACGGCACCCAGAGCTCCTTCCCACGCCCGCCAGTGTCCACCCTGGCCTGGGACGGCTCCAGGCCCTGGCAGCTCCCGAGCGCAGCGTGGAGCCCGTGACTCAGCGGGCAGAGGCACCGCCTCCACCCAAAATCTCAACACAATTCATTCCATTACTCATGAGAGCGGCCCAGAAATAGCCCATTACTAATCCAGAGCTGGTGTGCAGAGGAGAGTGGGGCAAGGAGGCCGTGAGCACCGAGTGGTCAGCGGCCGGCTGGGCTGTCCCTGTCCATGTCCTCGCCCTCACAACACCAGTGCCAGATGCCGGGGACCCTCTGCTCGGGGAGAGGTTGGCTCCTCTCCCAGGGCTGCTCCTCTCCCAGGGGATACCCCATCACTCAGCAGGACGAGGCCAGTCCCCGGGTGCCCGATGCAAAGGACCCTGCGCTGTTCCCAGATCATGGGGGGATAAAATAGAGTGGGAAACGTGGAGACAATTCCAGGGGGATAGCTTTACTACAACTGCCAGCAGGACAAATGTTTAAAAGGACACAGTTGCCCACATCAGACATGGAAGTTCAGATTTTAAACTCTGCTGTTACCAACCCTGAGTTAAAAGAGTGCCCAGCCTGGCCCGTACAGCAGCCGCAGTTTTCGGGTGTGAGCAGCACTTTGGGCGCCTCACTGGAGATTCCTCCTGCTCATTCACAGGGATAACAAAAGGGAGCAGCAACTTTGTGCTGTCCCCTCCCATGGAGCGGCACTGCCAAACTCCGCCGGGCTGAGCCAACACAGGACAGCCCTGAGTGGGTTCAGTCTGTGCCACCGCGGCCGGCACCAGCCCAATCCTGAGCAGGCAGCTCCTCCTGCATGCCAAGGAATTGCACAAGGGAACCAAGTCACTGCTCTCTACTTCCCAAGCAGCTATGCTAAAGCCATCTCCATAAAAGCAGCCAGGGCTCCAGGAC